GCCGCGGCCCCTTTGCAGGTGGTGCGTGCAGCATCGTGTCTGTGGATGGACGGACGGACGGATGTGTATACATATGTGTGTGTAGATGTATATGTATAGATCCGTGTGTGTATATGTATCTATATGTACATATATATGTGTGTATGCATATGTACACGTGTATATATGTGTGCATATATCATAGAATCACAGAGTGGTTTGGGCTGGAAGGGACCTTAAAGCCCATCCAGTGCCACCCCCTGCCCTGGGCAGGGACACCTCCCACTAGCCCAGGTTGCCCAAAGCCTCAGCTGTGACTGCAGTGGGGACAGGCAGGGCTGGTCCCTCTCCTTTGGGTGCTGGCAGCCCTGCCTTCAGCCCTCCGGGGTGTCACAGAGCCCGTCCCAGGGCAGCACCCCACGGCCCGGGGGTGCTGGGGGCAGGAGCAGCACCCGCGCCCCTCCTGGTACAAGCAGAGCTCCGGCCTCGCTGCTCCCCTGGCATGGAGGCGGCTTCATGTCCCTGAGCTCTGGATGTGGGGTGGGGGGCCTGTGTCCGCAGAGGTCGGGCAGCAAACATGCGACCACGCCTGCGGATAACTACTACCTGGCTCGGAGGAGGACTCTGCAGGTGGTGGTCAGCTCCTTGCTCACCGAAGCCGGCTTCGAGAGCGCTGAAAAGGCCGCGGTGGAGACGCTGACGGAGATGTTACAAAGCTGTGAGTGTCCAGCAAAGTCACACCGGTCCCCTGAAGTTTCTTGTTTCCTTGTTTTCAAACAAACCTTCACTCTTTTTGTTTTGTTTTGTTTTTCCCCATTTTTTTTATCTTGTGTTAATGATGTTAGCCAAAGCGGAAGGCTAGAGGGGTGGCTAGAGCACAGCTCTGGAGTCACAGACTTGTGCGAGCATGAGATATTTGTCCAAATTCGGAAGTACTTATTTATCTTACTCAATGAGTACTCATTGGTTACTCATTAGGTATCCTTATAAGCTCCACGTATTGAGATGCTGCCAGAATAAACAGAGAAACAACAAAGTTCCAGACATTTAGTTAAGGCTGTAGAAGTTCCTGCATTTGGCAGCTCTGTTCCTGCTCTTCTGGGTGACGTGCGTAGGCTCTCAGGTTACATATTTTTCTGAAATCAAGAAGTGATAAGGTTTTGTATTTTTTTACGCCTGTGATGCAGATTAGCCCTTTGCATTTGTGGAAGACATCTGACTCTTTGATCTTTAGGGTCTCCATACTCTGCACATGCTTTAATTTCAGTACTCAGGCTGTAAGACACTGTATTGCAGGAGCTATTTTTCATTCCTTGATAAATTTGCTAAAAATTCAGGTCTTTGAAGCCAGTGTTGAGCTGGTACATGTGGGCTCACTGAATTTTTTTCCCCACCAGATATTTCTGAAATTGGGAGGAGCGCAAAGTCCTACTGTGAACATACAGCCAGAACGCAGCCCACGCTCTCTGATATCGTGGTTACTCTTGTGGAAATGGGTGAGTAGCGGACTGGTCCCGGTAATTCTAGCTGCCTGCATTGCAGAAGATTTGGATGTGCTGCACTGGTATGAAAATCTGTCCCTGAGGTTTCTGGTGTTTGTGTGATGCTCACTGTTCTGGGCCTCGTGCAGCTCCTCAGATACCACTTTTGTGGATCCAATATGAATATATACAGAGTGCATGATTTTCTTTCTCATGTAAGTTTGAACTCTTGGAAAAATTCTGGAGAAGCCTAAGAGAAGGGGTTTTTAACAGGATAAACTCTTGGTGTGATTTCTGTTTTCTGTTTTGTATTTTAGGGTTCAATGTTGAAACGCTTCCTGCATATGCCAAGCGCTCCCAGAGGATGGTCATCACCGCCCGTATGTGCGAAATCCTTTCTCTTCTTATTGGAAATTGGAAATAATTTAGGATTCCTAGCTGCTGGTATCCAGAGAGCTCCTGCTTTTCTGCTGGGTGCCGCAGCCCAGTGCTGCTGGCAGTGCAGTTTGTGTTAAGGACTCCTGCGATGACTGTGTGATGGATGAAGGAGGGTTCCCTCTGCTGAATCAGTGGCCTTTGCTTCAGCAAAGCAAACATCAAGGTGGTTTTGTTCTCCTTGGGTAGGAGCAAGGGGGCAAGTAATCCTTGCTCCCTTTTGGGATGCTAAACACAATCTGAAGTTATTACTCCTGAGATATGCTCTGTCCCTTTTATGGGACCTGGAGACATGGGTCACAGCTCAGTGGAAGCGAGCACTTTACACCTAACTCCTGACAGAACGAAGCTGGCTGATTTGTGTGTGTGCATTTGTTTTTTTTTTTTAACTGTAGCTCCTGTGACAAACCAGCCCGTGACTCCCAAAGCCTTGTCGGCTGGACAGAACAAGCCACATCCACCCCACATTCCTGGCCATTTCCCTGAGTTTCCAGATCCTCACACTTACATCAAGACACCAGTGAGTGAGGAAAGCCTTCTGTGCCATTGGGGGGCTGTTTGAAGTCAGTATTTTTACAGTAGTGCTGGTACTGTTTATCCAAAATATTGTTTCTCCTGGCTTTATATATTGCTGGTTGTTTGTGCATTGCCCTTGCTGTAGATTTCTGGCTGATTGACATTTGTAGCACTCTGAAAATCTGTGCAAGTTTAAGGTCAATGCTTGCCTGTAGCCTCTGCAGCCTCACAGTGTTTTGAACTTCAGCTGTCTGCATTGCATCCACTAACAGAATTCTTTTCTTTTTTTTTCCTCTCCCTGCTCCACAGACATACCGGGAGCCAGTATCTGACTATCAGGTCCTCCGAGAAAAGGCAGCATCTCAACGGCGCGATGTCGAAAGAGCTCTCACACGGTTCATGGCTAAGACAGGAGAAACACAGAGTCTCTTCAAAGATGATGTTAGCACATTCCCACGTGAGTTCTCCAGGACACTTAATGCTGTAAATGACAGCTGTCTGAGTACACATTCTGTTAGAGTTCTTGCTACTGTGGGATCACATTGTGTTTGCCCTTCGGAGGTGCTGGAAGGCTGGGAAATGCAGAATTTTCTATTTGAAATGGGGATGAAAAACAGAATCAACGCCAAATGTTAGGCTTCCACCCTCAGCAAAGGCTCACTGTGCTAAATTCAGGTGCTAAATTCAAAGCTCATCCCAATCCTGTCTCCAGCCCTCTGTAACTTTTAAACAAGTCATTTCTTCGCTCTCACATTTTTGTGGTAGGCAGTGGAGGTTTTCTCTGTCTGCAAAGCAGTGATGAGCATTCCCACCTTCCCAGGGCTCACTGACAGCACAGAAGTTGGTGTTATCTTAAGGGGGACTAAGTGATGCTTCAGCCTGTGAGATAGTTGAACTTTTGTGGAGGTCAGGAAGGACTTTTTGTGTTGGTATAACGCTGTGTCCTTGGCTGGAAGCATGAATGGGACTCAGAAAATAGGAAATTAGAGACTGCTGACTTTTAGGGACAGCATATTTCATTCCTGATCCCTGGGAGCAGCAGGAAAAGAGTGTGTGTGTTTAAAACCAGAACCAGTGAAAGTGTTTGTAGCTGGTTGGCTTTGTGCTTCATAATCTCTGACTTGAGGAGCCTTCTCCCAGCTTGCTGACTGTGTCCTTTTCCCAAACCCTAGTGATTGCTGCCAGGCCTTTCACCGTACCCTACCTGACAGCTCTTCTCCCCTCTGAGCTGGAAATGCAGCAAATGGAAGAAACAGATTCATCTGAGCAAGACGACCAGACAGACACCGAGAACCTCCCCCTGCACATGAGCACGGTACGCCCAGCCTGAGAGATCAAGGTCTCTTGGGCCCGACTTTCTGAAACTTATGAAACCTGGTTCTTTGCCTGTCTTCCTTGCAGCTGGGCAGAGTGGGTGGAAAGTGGCAGAGTGGGTTGTATTTTACCAGGTGTAAATGATTAAACATTGTCATGGTTCTTTAACTTTTTGCAGGGTGCAATGCAAAATGAGGTTTGATTATGAACTTTCAGTACAACCTTCATTTCAGTGGTAGGGGAGAGAGGATTGTCCTAGGATCCCACACTTCCCAAAGGGGATCTGCTTGTGTTAGAAATCAGGAGTCCTCACCTTTAATGCAGCTCCTTGTGTGCTGCTGTTTATCTTGGCTGTTGGTTATTTGTTTTGCCCGTAGGTTACATGGTTTGAACTTCCAAGCCTTGTTTAGCCTAACTTTGGTTGTTCATGCTTTTGTGTTTGTTTTTTTTTTGATGTGGCAGGATGATTCAGGACCTGAAAAGGAGAATGCATCAGTGTTACAGCAGAACACCTCCCTGTCGGGCAGTCGGAATGGGGAGGAAAATATGATAGACAATCCCTACCTCCGGCCAGTGAAAAAGCCCAAGATCCGCAGAAAGAAGTGAGGTGCAGCCTGCTGGGTGCTCAGAGGAAGAGAAACTCGGGATTCACCTCCACTGCTGTGGGTGAGAGGAATGGAGCAAGACAGGAGGCAATCCAGCTGAGTGGCAGAAGCAGAGGAGTGATCTCTCTGCCTAGTGAACTACGCTCTTACCCTGGTTTGCAACGCTCCCTCTTTCCCCTCTGCTCTCCTGCTGACTTGGGACGGTCAACGATCAGTTGCCTTAAAAGTGCTGAAGGCCACCAGGTTACAGATGGGAATTGTCTCGTTTACTTTGGTTTGTTCTCACTGTCGGCAGGATTTACTCTCTGAAGAGACGGGGGCCACAAAAGGTTCTTGCTGCTCAGTGCTTCCCAGCAGGCTCTACCGAATACAAAGGCATAATTCGTTTGTGGTTGTCTGGCAGGCTAGAAAAGAAACTTCTGCAATCAACCTTGCCTGGCCTTATAATCTGAGGAGCATGTATTAACAGAGACAGAAAAATCCCAGAGAGGTTTCTTTCTTTGGATTCTTGGCAGGTAAAACCAAACAGACTTTTCTTTTATAAACCTAAGGCATCTGATGTGTTGGTAAGAGAGGGAAATGTAAATACAGAGCTAAGATGGCATTTTATTCTCACTTTTCTGACTGCAGCTGCACTTCTAACTTAAAAGCTCTAAGTGTGGTGTTTACCCTGTTCTGCTTTGAGATTATTTTCTAGCAGTATGAATGGCAAGATTTAACAGCTGCCTCAGGCTATTTTTCAGTGCTATTGTTAGTTTCAACACAGCACAACTCCTTTGACAGTTCACGCCTTCACCAGCTGTTTTGAAAGATGCTGTGCTGGAAAACTTGGAATAGGGAATAAAGCTGTATTGATTGCAGTCTGCAAGGCCATGCTATTGATCACACTTTTTTATTTTGTCCATTCTCAAATATGGGCTTTTATCAACAGAAGTTGCCCTTTTTTCCCCCCTTTATTTCCCCAGAGCAGAAGACCTATTTCAGCAGTGAAAATGACTGCTGAAATAACAATTGTAATTGTTAGCTGGTTCTGCAGGGCTTTGCTTTAATTGTCATTCGGCCTTTTCTTAGGCAAAATATTGGTTAAATCTATTTTATAAAAGACTCCTATAGTGTGGTCCAGTCTCCCAAGCATCTCTTGTGGATGAAAATGTGGTGCTGGGAGAGGCAGCCGAGACTGCCTGCTACAGACTGCCAGGCAGCACATGGTTTCCTAGAGTAGCAGCTGAATGCAAGAAGTCTGTTGCAGTCACCAGGGAGATCAGAGTTATTAGTGTATAGAGTGTTCACCTCCGTTCAGTGAAGGCATCCTCCCAGGCCTCCCTCTTCCCCCATCGCCCAGGGAGGAGGAAGATAAAAAGGAGTCATTGTTTTAGTGAGAATGCAGGTGTTCCTGACAAACAATCTGAAATTGGATCTCTGACAGAAAAGTCCTGCTTGTGCCATTGTCACACCTGCTGGTGCCTTGGTTGTACAGAATAATAAACGTACAGAGACATTGTATATGTATGTATATATAAAAAAAATATATCTTTTTTTACTTGGATTAATCATTTTTCCTAATGAGAAAATCCCTCGCTGGGTAGGGGAAAAACGTAGAATGAAAATAGTAATTTTTATGTTCATAATAAAAGAAATTTTATCTCCTACAAGCAAAACTGGCTGAGTCCTTAAAGTTTCAGGAGAGGAAAAGCACCTGAATGGAGCCTGAGTGTATGTTCTCTGGGGTCTGTGCAAAGTTGTCACCAAGCGGTGGGAAGTCTCTTTCTTCCCTCTGCATCTCTTCCTTTTCCCATAGCGACACTTCATAGCTGAGAAGGTTGGGAATTTTCCGACAAAAACTTTGATTTGTTAGAAATAGGTTCAGTGAGAACCAAGAGCCTTTTGAAATACCGTCAGTTTTGCAAAAGCTTTAGTTGAAGGTTTCTCCAGGCACAGGTGGAACGTGGTTGAGAAGGACTGCAGAATCACAGGTTCTCTTACGCGTGTGTTTTTTCTCCTGCTTGGAAAACGAAATCAGATGGAGGTGAAGCCTTTAACAGCCATAAAACCCAGGTCTCAGGACAATGCAGTTTCCAGTGAGTCATAACCCCTCCTTCGAAAGACTGCACCAAAAGGGGCAACTGCGAATGGGCAAGTACATCCCTTTCTGACAGCTGCAGCCACAAAGCAGCTTCTTGTGGTTGGGAGGGAAGGGACCAGCGTGCCTAGAAAAGGCAGCTCATGAGCAGCTGTTCTGGTGCGTTTGTGAGAGCTCTTGAAGACCAAAAGTGGGAAATGGGAAGAATGCGGTTTGGTTTTATAGCTGAAATTGGGCTACAGGTGAAATTTTCTACAGAAACATCTATGCAGACCCAGAAAATTTCAAAGCCTGCAGTGTGACTGGTAGTTACACCGAGAATGAATGCTGCCTGCTCTTAGTTTTCCCCTGAGACTGAATCATGCTTGTGATCAGACAGATTAAGCCTGTGTGTGAAGATTTGTAAACATTTATAGAAATCCCTAGAGACTGAGCAGTACATTACAGAAACAACTGATGATGAATACCAGCACCTTTCTGTTTCAGACTAAATCTATTCCCGTGGCCAGATTCTTAATTAGCAGCATGTTGCTTTCTTCTTGCTTGAGAATATCTTCCTCATGTCAGCAGGGGAAAAGCCAGTAATGCAAACGTACATCTCGCAGGCCATCTGCTCTAACCTGTCCCAGCACCGCCGCTTTCCCGGGGGTGTTTGCTGTGCAAATAATATCGTTGCTGGCTGTGCACAAAGCCAAAATATTCCCTCAGAACATACCCAAGGGCAGCGCAGCACCGGAGGCTCTGCCACGCACACCCCCGTGTTTCTCAGCTCTCCTCAGGCTGTGGCTGAGCCCCTGGGCCCGGCCTCGAGCGGCTGTTGGGGATGAGATGGTGGTGAGGAGGCCGGGGAAGGCAGGTAGTGGCTGAAGGGAAGATGGTGGTGAGGAGGCCGGGGAAGGCAGGTAGTGGCTGAAGGGAAGATGGTGGTGAGGAGGCCGGGGAAGGCAGGTAGTGGCTGAAGGGAAGATGGTGTGAGGAGGCCGGGGAAGGCAGGTGGTGGCTGAAGGGAAGATGGTGGTGAGGAGGCCGGGGAAGGCAGGTGGTGGCTGAAGGGAAGATGGTGGTGAGGAGGCCGGGGAAGGCAGGTGGTGGCTGAAGGGAAGATGGTGGTGAGGAGGCCGGGGAAGGCAGGTGGTGGCTGAAGGGAAGATGGTGGTGAGGAGGCCGGGGAAGGCAGGTGGTGGCTGAAGGGAAGATGGTGGTGAGGAGGCTGGGGAAGGCAGGTGGTGGCTGAAGGGAAGATGGTGGTGAGGAGGCCGGGGAAGGCAGGTGGTGGCTGAAGGGAAGATGGTGGTGAGGAGGCCGGGGAAGGCAGGTGGTGGCTGAAGGGAAGATGGTGGTGAGGAGGCCGGGGAAGGCAGGTGGTGGCTGAAGGGAAGATGGTGGATCTTGCCCCCAGTGCTGAGGTGGTGAGGGACAGCAGCCAAGCCACCCTCTAGCTGTGGCAATTTGGTTCCTCTCTGGTGGCAGCGAGGGATGGATTTTGGGGGGGAAAAGCCCCCTGTGGCGACGGAAGCCATGCCCGGGAGGGCAGCACTGAGGTGTTTCCGTGGAGAGCCAGAGAAGATGGCCGCCGGCCCTGTCCGGGCTGAGGGGAGCAGCGCCAAGGCGTGCTCTGCGCAGGACCCAGCAGCACCCAAACACCTGCAGGAGCAGCAGACACGCATGGTGATACTGGGTAAGCACAACCAGCAGCACGATTTGAAATGGTTTTATTTGGAGAGGCTGAGTAGGGCAGATGAGCGTCTCCACGAGCAGGTGGGAAGCGGCGGCGAGGCTGGAGCTGCCCGCTGGGGAGGGAGGACGTGTGGCGCGGCCCCGGCTCCTCAGCTGAAGTATAAACTCAGGTAGGCCACTCGGTCTCGGTGTTTCCTGAATTCTCTGTCTATGGTCATCTAAAAAACGACTACCTGTTAGATACTCGCAACGACCGTTGCTTCAGGAGAGCGCAGGAAGGTGTGGGATGGTGTCAAGAACTTTCACCTGTGTTTAAATCACAAAGGTTTTCTTTTCAGCAGAGCTACAGGGGGAAGTCTGTGCTCTGATTCTCTCACTTTGTGGATGTAAACTTCCCAAGCAAATTTCTTAATAGACGTTTTTTTGAAAGGACTGTAACCGTTTTCGCAAACCAGCATTTTCTGATAGAAAATCACTTCGTATCTTGTGCCCCAGGCTCATAGAGCCACGTACCCAGCAGGCCAGGGAGGAAAGGGTGACAGAATATATCGCAAATGCATTGAATAATCACCTGATTTCCTTCGTCAGAAGCGTTGAGCCAGGAATAACATCCCCTTATCCCTGTCCTTACCTTCTGCACCTCCATTTTCATCATCCTCTTTGCTGGCGTCGGCACTAAAGACCAGTCTGGAGACCCAAACTTCATTGGCCAAGTGACTTTTTTGTGTAGTTGCTTGTTTGCTTCATAAGTTCCAGGTCTAAAGAAAACAGGCAGAAAATATCTCATTTCTGGAGCTGGTGTGTGATGTTTGTAATGCCAGAATTTACCAGCCCTACCTCAGCCCATGGGAGAAATGCATGTTGTGGTACTCAGTCATCGTGCTAAGTTAGACTAAAGCACAGGAGCTTTTGGAAAGTAAAAAAGCATTACTGGGAACTCAGTCACCTATCTCCCATTCGTGTCTTAGTATTTCTCTCTGCTAGTACTCCTGCTTATTATTAAAAGTGTAAGAAAATGAGTTAAATTACCCAGGGAAAAGTTCTTTGTCTGGAGGCTTATCTGGGAATCGTGGTGTCTTAATGGAAAATGGAGCACAGGCAGGCTGGCACTTCCTCTCCTTCGTCCAGAATGACTGGTACTTTGCTGGGCTGGGAGTCACAGTCTGCAAGAGAGAAAATTTCAATAGGGAAGATTTTGCTCTGACCATTCCTACGTGCTCTGATCAGCAGCCAGCTGCACATTACAGACCTGCTGTTCAGTGCATGCTTTGGCTACTTTGATAGCGTAAAAAAAACCAGAACAAGTCAATTATGGACTCTTGACTCCTTACCCAGTGTGTTCTGTGATGTCTCCCCTAATATATTGTTATTCTAGAGAAGCTGGGCCAGAAAGCAGCATGTTTGCTCAGGTAGTACAGTTGAGCTCCCTCGCTGGTTTTGCCTCAATATGTACATTTACACTTGTGTGTATGTGATACAAAGGAATGTGTGTGCTTTTCTTACCTGTGGCTGTGGTATGAAGCGCTGGGCTGTTCTCGCTCCTATCACGTAGCCTTTCGTGCTTAGTGGTTTGTTTTCCAAAGAGTATCTGAGGCTGCTGCTCTGCGATTCAAAAGCAGAAGTGCCTTACTGACATTTTTACGACACCATTTGCGTCAGGGGAAGGGCAGGAGTACATGGGCAGCAGACGTTATTCCTATTAATTCCTCTAATTTCTCACTAATGTAGAGCACCAGGGCAGCGGGAGCTTTGAGGACTGGTATGTTTGGAAGGGGAGGGGAATTTTGTTTTCTAGGTATATGTGCAGATCTTGTACAATGGCTTTGCAGGGCAGGTGTGGGGGACTCCGTGTCTGGCTGCCCATGGTCCTATTGCTCCTGTGCCATGTGTCTTCTGTGAAGAAAAAGCTCTGAGCATGAAAACTGAACAACTTACCTCTTGACTCAGGTAACAGCCTGGCCCAAGCGAAGGGTCTCCCCTGATGGCTATCAGCTGGATTCCCAGCCTGCCTGGGCCGTGGTGGAGAGGGAACATCTTCCGTTCTTGACATGACCCAAATGAGATCCTCTTCTGCACATCAGTGAGAGCTGGAGAGGGAAATGCACCACTTGCAGCTTTTCTTCCTTCGTAAGTGTCTGCTGCTCTCTGCCTGAGACTCCTCTTAACTCCCAGATGGGAATTTCCCCTGAATCTGGATATTTGTCAGGGCTCTCCCTCCTGCCGTGAAGGCTTCTTTTTCCTCAGTCTGAGCAAAGAGCAGACTAGCAGCCTGGTTATGGGGAAGATCACTGGAGAAGCCCGATGCCATCGGGGAGCTGCGTGAGAAGGAAAGCCCTTGTGCCCACATCCTGCCCCAGGTGCGCACACCTCGCCTGGCTCACCTCTGGGCTCCCACTCCACTGCCATGCTGTTCTGCCGGACGCCTCCGGATGTGTGTGTACTCCAGTCGCTATGGACACGGAGCAGGGGGTGCTGGAGGGAATGCTGGTGATGTCAGTGCCTGCAGGATGCAGGGAAAAGAGGAGGATTAGTAACGGCCCCATGGATTGCACTGTGCTGGCTGCTACCTCAGGAGCTGCTGTTTTCAGACTGTAAGTCAGTAGTGGAGAGGTCTTGGTGGAAGCAGCCTGTAGATTGTGCTGTCAGGACCCTTCTGAGTGATCCCTCGTGACACAATCTGATCTGCCCTGTTGTCTGCTCTCGGTCTTTTTCCCTGTGTCTGGCTGTTATGGTAGGGCAGTGAGAAACCCCTGGAAAATGCCGTACCGAGATTCAGTCCAGCTTGTGCATTCAGGCCCTTCCCTGAGCATAAGTGTGAGTACCATGAGAGAATGAGGGAGCATCAAAATATTAAGAGTGAGATGAGCTGAAACTGAGGATTGTTGCTTTTGCAGAACAATTTATTTAATCATTCCTCTTCCACACAATTAGATCAGAGGCGTCTGTTTGTGGTAATAGGATTGGTATCTTCATGGGCAGTTGCAGCAGCATATCTGAATGGGATTTCTTAAAAGGTGCTTAGAGGTGGAGTGGTGTTCTTGGAAATTCCATAGGAATTTATCCCAGAGATGTCTGCATATATGTATATATGTATGGCCTATGTTGGGAGTAGCAGGGAGAAGCAATATTTCTTGGACTAATATAGATTACGACAGGAGCAAGTATGGGCATTGCAATCTTCTATGTTGTCAGACTTTTTTCTCTTTAATGGTCGCTACTTTTCTAGGTCTGGAGCCTTTTTCTCTCATCTCTTTTCAAAAATTATTAATATGAACAATGGGAAGCTATTCAGAATTGTGGAAAGCCCGTTGAAGCTAGTTTGCTGAAAGTTTCTGAGGAGGAAAAGGGCAATGTTTGGAGGGAAGACATAGAGGTAAGCTCCTTCTGCCAGCTTGCTAAATTTTACATTCATCTCTTGGGAGAGTCACTTCATTCTACACTTAAATTCTCTTTAATGGACTGGAAAAAACCAGCTGTGCATGAAGGAAATAACAATGATTAACTTTTAAGTGTGAAGCACTTTAAGGATGTTAAATATGATCTGGCACTGTGGTAAAATGTGATAAACTCTTTCCTTTAAACCTACGCTCTGTACTCGGCTGGGTCCTGCCTTCTGATATGCTCTGAGAGGTCTGCAGGGGAACATCATTTCCTTGTGAGCTAGAAGGGTTGAATCTCCTGAGAAACCAGCGTGCTCTCTCTGACTTAGCATACAGTACAGCCTTATCTGATACTATCAGCATTAGTTTTCAGCTCTTTCATTTTTATTGGCTAGCCTCATAAAAAAATCTCACTCCCAAAGATTCATCTAATTCCATGAATTAAATGAGGGAAGAAATTGAGTTAAAGGAAGAAGTTTCCCTGCACATGCAGCTTCTTGATTTGCAATTAAGTGCACCTTGAAGCACTGCAGGAGGCAAAATAAAGGCAAAATAAAAATATTAGCATGTAGTTTTAACTAAGGAAAGCATCTTCCTCTTGCTTTACAAGACGCTTGTGGTCGGTGTCTGGGTACTCTGAGCAATTAAAATATCCAACAGTAGGTGTCAATGTCGCTTGCTCTTCCCGACCGAGTAGATGGTGTGCTTTGCTGGCAGTCTTGTGATAACATTTCAAGAAGAAACGTGCTTGCAGGCCAGAAAGCTTAATTGCTGCTCCTCTTTGTTTAACCACAAATAGAGATCTGAGATTAACAGGACTTCCAACTAGAAATGGAGTGTGCTGTGATCAGGAGAGCTTGATTCAATGGTGGTTTTATGTCTCAGCTTTTACCTTGACATCTTGGCAAAAGTTACCCTGCTTGACTTGGCTTAAAATCTAAGTGGGGAATATCAACAAATCACTGACTACTACCCCGAATTGTGTTGTTTCCAATGCACAGTCTGGGAGGTGTTAGGAGATAACCGGTTCTCCTCCTCTTCCTTTGGTTTCTGCTTTAGAGAGAGGAATGGTGGGGTTTCTTTCTTTCAAAAAACAGGGTGAAAGGTATCAGGGGTCTGGTCAACCTGGACCTAAGGGAAGGACTGGGAACCCTCAGCTTTAATGTTCTGCATATCCCGAGGTTGGAGCTGAGCTGGAGGCAGTGGAAGGAATAGACTCAGCAAGCTGAAACTCAACTAGAGATGCATGGAGTATGTTTAAAGAGACCTGTTTGGGTATCCTGTCAACAGCTTCGGTGAAGCTGATGGTCTTTCAGTGGTTTAACAGCTCTGAATTACTGATCTGTACTCGGGGGGTGCTGACGTTCTTGGAAAACTGTCCCACCCTCTTCAGGAGTCTGACAGAGAATTAAGGAAATGTGGCCTCAGTGTCAGTGGCCAAATGTGAAATCTGGCTCCACATCCAGTTGGGTATGTATACACTTGCTTAAGTTACTGCCACTATAATCCAATGCCTGTAAGCAGAGCCATGAAAAAGGATCTCTCCTACCTCCAAGTCACGTAACCCTTGGACATGTCCTTCACTGTGCAGCACACAGAGCTGATGGTGGCTGGTGTAACAGTATCTGCGCAAAGAGAAGACAGCTGGAACGCCTGTGGGTCTGGCATCTGCTCAGCTGCCTGACTGAGACCTTTGAGAATGGTTTGGGAGCTGTCTTCATCTAAATCTCTTTCTATTCTTCTAAACAGATCATTTGGTGTGGCTGAAAGACTTGTGTTGCTGCTGCCATGAGAACTATCCTGCAGGAAGCCCAGGCTGCAGAGCCAGCGCCACTACCTGCAGCGTAACATGGTCTATCCAGGAGCACACGATGCGCAGGAAGTGTCTGGCATCTGTTTTTGTTCAGATTCGCGGCAAGAAATTAGGAGCTTTAAAGCTCCTCAGATTCCCTTCTCCAAAAGATAATCACACCACGTAGGTCCTGGGTAGGGACTTTGCACAGACAGGCATTCAGAGTGCTTTGCCTATATAGGACAGCCAGGGGAGACTCATATCTCTTTGATTTGTGTGACACCACTTTATTTAAAGGTTGCTGTTTTTAAGCCTGCTTTCCCTAGTACTAACTCCTTGTTCCAAAGGCTGGATCTGTTCTGCTTCACGCCATTTTCCTCTGGCATTTGATTTCCCTTCTCTCCACAGCTCATTGAGTGGAACTAAAGGACTGCTGATTTTCAGATACCAACCATTCCCTGCCCCCCGGGGGGAATTCTTGCCTTCTGTATGTACATTCCCAGAAATATCATCTCTGACTCACTCTGATTACGCAATGCTGCAGCCATTTCCCCAGCTACTTCTACAGACTGTCATCAGTTATTCACCTTTTGTCCCCAGGTATGTTTTATAAGGACTTAGTTCTTTTCATGAGGAATTGGATACAGAACTGCAATCGCCCATTGCATATTCTTCCCTTACAGCACATCTTTCATCTTTCCTTATTCTCTGTTGGCACTAAACTGCTATAATTAAGCGCTGTAAACAAATCTCAAGCTTCTCTGATGTTGTGAAACACTCCAACTTGATTTCTGACCATCCTGTTCCACAAATAAACCTTGACTCTGCACTGCAGGCATCTTACTAACATTCCCTGGTGATCCGGATTGAGACAATGAGTTCACCAGCTCTCTGTGGTGGTGGTGAACCCCCGGGAACAGGGTGGTCTCTGTGCTGAGGAATCTGCTGGAGAACTGGATCCTTCCATCTATCCTTGTATCCAAGAGTTAGTCCCAAAAATTATTTCCTGGTCTTGTCAACGAGTGAGAACAGGACTTCAAATGGGGGCATGTGTGCATATGATAGAGATGGACAAACTGCTTGTTTGCACGTAAATGTCTGTGCCCAAATGCAGGTGTGTGCAGGTGGGCAAAACACACTGCAGAAAGGTTCTAAATGTGTGAATGAACATGCACATGGGCCTTATTTAAGCTAAGGAAATCTCACATGAAGAATACTTTGTTTCTGCTGCTCTGCATTTTTCTTTCTTTTCTCTATTTTTATGTACCTGATGTCACACACAAATTTTTTATAGTCTGACCTTTTAAAAATTGGATTTATTAAAGCATATAATCTCCAAAAATCCACTTAAAATTGATAATGCACATTAGAATCTAAACTATTATCATCTGTTATTTAGAAAAATATCAGCACCAAGCATGCAGATCTTGAACTTCTTCCAGTCAGGATTCAAAGTGGCAGGTTCAATCAGGCTGCTCCATGTAACGTGACCTGTTTTCCCCATCCATCTCGCCCTGACAATCCCCATTATCTGTGGGGAAAGAACCAGCTGCCCTGGATTGCGAGATGAGACTAGCTGAGAGTATTGGGTGCTAATCCGTCAGTGAACGCTGCAGCCGTCACCAAGCCGGGCACTGACGTATGGCTGTCGTCTTGTATTTGCATTCAGTGTTTGTGAGGTCTAGTCGTTACCAGTAACCTACAACAGGGCTTCAGGAACCTCCTCTTGGGCTTGTCCATCTTCCTCTGAACCCTTCAGAGGAGGTTCTGCCCCCCCAACAGCATCCCAGCTCATCTAATTACTTACTAAGCTCTTTTTCTGGTTAGCCGACATCTGCCCATTTCCAATTAATCCTTGTTCACAAGCTCAATAACCTGAGCCATCTGTAGAGGTAGGAGAGATAAGCTTCCCATTAAACATTTACAGGACACAACAAGAGAGTATTGAAGCAACTGTTGCTGAGACAACCCAGGCGGGTGTCTGCATGTGGGGGAGTAGCTGACCCTGTGCCTCCAACTGCCACATTGTAATCGAACGAGAAAAATATATGGGTCTAAAAACGTATATGGACTGTCACACACCCCCAAAAGGGTACGTGCTCCTCCTGCCTACATCCACAAATGTTCTTCTACATTAGCGTGATAAAGGCTTTTAAAGAAATTCAATAGGGTTTTGGGCCCTAGAAGTTCTAGCAACCAAATAGCCCTTAAATAAAACATTCAGCACTTAAGCA